ATCTAAAGATAACGTTACTGACATCCATACTTTAGACTTCCAGAATTTTTTACAGTTGACAACCCAATAAACGCTGATTAGAAAACTGTGTTTATCTAATACAAGCGCTGAATTTCCAACAAATCTTCGTAACGGTATTATATTTTAGCCTAGAATTGGCAAAAAAAATTATGCTGTTACATTATTATTGAACTACCTCATTTATTGCTATTGCATTACCGAATTATTTCGACTCAAGATAAATAATAATTACTTATGTAAAATAATTAGGTTTTTTTTAATAGGAAAACTTGAAAAATGAGATTTGCCTTCACTGGGATTTAAACTCCGACCTTCCGATTGTTAGCCGAAGTGCTTCTAATTGCATAACGAAAACATGTCGTAAGGAGAAAGAATATTCCTTTCAATAGGTTTGAGATTTCGGCTCTTTCTTTTTCCCAACAGATGAATAAGATGTTTTTAAGTTTTAAGAATGTACTATCGTTTTTATTCAATAGCTCATACCATATTACTCAATGCAAAGTTAACGTGAAAAATAGAGAAATATATATGCAGGTAATATCCAATGAACAACGTATTTCGTTAAGATATTTTAGGACTAGATTAGAGTTATTTGATTATAGCAAAACAGCAAAGCATGTGAGGAATCTCTCTACGGGTGTCATGCTTTCATAAAATGCTTTCTAACAGGAACTGGCTCGTATCCAGGTTGCACATGGAAACAACCACATAAACGCACATGAAGCCAGCCCATTCCCTTGAAATCGGGCCTAGATTGTACTGAAAATATTCTAAGAGTTTACTACTCGCCCGCTGCTGGACCTAGTATTTTTGAAAAGACATCTTTAGATCTAACGAATAATGAAAATTCACATTTGTTTAGCTCAGTGCTATTTCCTTATTAATCTGTGAGGCTGAGACGATAAATATATTTTACAGTAACTGAAACATCTGATAGTGAAACATTCTGTAAAACAAATACATTGTACAAAACCAAAAAGATATATTGTTCGGGACAGTTCAAATGGAAGACTCCAGAATTGTATTGACAAAGAGTCGTTAAATGAATTCTCTATTATTCAGATTAGTATAAACAATAAAGCTTAATTAATGTTTACGATTTTCTTATTCAATGTCACCTGTTTTTCTATTTTCGTCATGTTAAAGTGTCGCATTTAAAACCGGTTTCATTTACACTTTTGTTTTCTACAAGCATAGTGAGCTCTAACTATGATAATCCAGTTAATACTCAGTGTGAAAATTTAATAAAACAATAACTTCACAAACTTTACAACAAACTACATGAGTACTCATTATCAGAAAATTTGTAGAGATATTAGGATTTTTTACGCCGGAGAGATGAAAGATTAGCAACGCCTTCACCGGGAATCGAACCGCGGACCTCTGGATACGCGCCCAGCGTGCAGACCATCACACCACGAAGGCATGCTAAGGAAGCGAGAGAAACACCTTATAAGTTGTGCAAAATAATGAGCTAAATATACGTAGACGAAGTATTATCGTTTAATTTTGAAGATAATTTTTTAGCATTATGAGAGAAATCTAATAATAAGATCTAAACTATTAGGAACAGGTGTTCGATTGGAAGCCAGAGCAGAAAATACTTGATTCTTTATGCAAGAATATTTCTCATGATGTTAATTTAAATTGCAGCATCCAACATAGTTAGTGCTTTGTTTTCAAAGCAATAAATTTTTAATGTTCCTTTCTATTGCACACCACGAGTCAATTCTGTTTATTTTGTTCTGCATGTCTAGTATAAGTAGTTTGCAGCCAATAATATTTAATTTAATTTTGTGTTGTTTCTTTTCTTCTTTTGTAAATTCTCGGTATAGGTTGAACACGTGATAAATCTTCAAACAATTATTCTACCTACTCTGAAAGAAATTTTTGCTACATTTCATTACAAATGAATATTTATACAAAGAATCAAATATCAGTGGCACTGGCACTACTAAAATTTTGTTACAAAGGAGTTACGATGTCCATTAAGAACCCGTACACACGTAACAATATTTATCCCACAAAGAACAGTTAAAAATCTTCATAATTTATCCCGGATTAGAACACGGGCACATCACTCATTAGTTAAATTAATCTATGTGCTGTAGACAAAAGCACGCATTTGTATTTAAATAATATTTAATTCTAACAAATGTTGCATAAATAGCGTATGGTTGCGAAATGCCCAGCTGGCGGTAAGATAACATCCTATTCAAAGCGGGTTAAGGGTTGCCAGAAAGTGGCAGAGAAAGCCATGGTTGGCAGATTTGGCTCAAAATCGTCCATTTGGCGACAAAATTGGCGATATGCCATAGGCAGAGCGAGATCATTCTAGAACGAATCCTTAGCCGTTTCCCTCGGGAATGTTCTCAAAGGTAGGTTAAAGCTATATATACGTTACCTGTACGCGGAGAGAACAGTATCTTAGGTAGCATTGTTAAGTATATTGAGTTCAGAGATTAGCTTGAGAGCGACCGAACCGAGTTGTGAGCTGTAATTTAATGCTTTGACGTGAAGCAGTCTGCACGTTTGCAGCCTGAAGACTGTGTTGCTGATTGTTTCAGAGCGGTTATCGTAATTTTTCGATGACTGTAAACATATCTTTGGAATTCTCCTGTGTAATTCTGGCGAACAAATTGTTTTTTAATTCTTCATCAAGTGTTGTCATTGACTCCAAATACACTAACCCGTAGAACGCAACAGTACTTTTGTATTCTCTAAATTTGAATCTGTATTACATTATGTATTATGAGTAAAACGTTATATATAATTTATTAATGCTGTTGAACATACTGTCGGCTTTTCATCTAAAATAATATTGTGTGATTACTGTGTTTTAAATTAAATGAATTCCTTGCTTGACTATTAAGCCGAAAGAAAGAATGAAAGTTTTACAGTTGTCCGTATATTCTATATTTAGACTTAAAACAATCATGAAAGAAATATTAAAGCTTTTGTGCAACGAAAGTAAAGCATTGTAGCATATAATACTAAAACGAAATTTTACTAGCTTAAGGCTCTTAATTAAAGTAGTTAGCTTGTGGAGAATGAATTAGAGAACAAAGCGCCTGGCGTTCGGAAATTAGAACGCAAATTTTGGAATAGGTTCAAAACTTATTCGAACTGATTTAGAGCTAATAGAGTATACATTTTAAGGCTGTTCAATGTTTAGAGTAAAGCAGCGATGCGTTATTTTAATTTCCGTTACCTGATTAGAAGCTTCCTTATTATTAAAACAAATTGTTAATTCAACGCAGTTCAATATAAAGTTAGCAGCCTACTGATTACTTGATTATTCATTCGAAAGTATAACTGTATAACTTTTAAATAGTCTTTCTTCACTTGTTTTTAAATGTTTAGCAAAATATCTATCCGTTTTGAAAAAATAGTGTAGTTCATCAGTCCTCTTAATTTTTTTATACAATGTATAACATACAACATAATCGTAATACAAAATAATTTCCTTCCTTTTTCCATAAAGATAATAATCAAACTAAGACTATAAACAAATGTTTTAATAGACTGGTATCCTCAAAATTAGCGTGGTAACCGTCGACGGATGTCGAAATGTCGGTACATCGTCGACGAAAACGTCGCGGAGAAAACAAAGCAAGGAGAAAACGTCGTTGTATAAAACATCGTGCGAAAAAACAAAGCAAGGAGAAAACACCGCAGTTCTAAAATATTGAAGTACAAAACATCATTACTGAAAACAAGACGGCTTAGAAGTTTCGCAGTTTAAAACATCATTGTCAAGAGAAAAAAAAAGACCGGGGCATATTCGATCAATTACAGGTTCAAATTCGGAAATCGACCCTCATTCTACCGATTGCTCATCACAGACCCCTTTAATATTTCTTCAACCCACGAGTGTCCACCAACCACATTGGAACCTCAGGTCTAAATTAATTCATTCAGCTTTTATATTAAATAATGTTACACTAAATGTCACAAAATTCGAATGCCCGAAAACTGCAGGTCGAGCCCTTCGAGAATTGGTCTTTTTGAATTATGTGTTTCAGTTCAGCGTATCATTTTAAGCATTTGCGAATATCCTATGAAAGAAGCACGGCTTAAGTTATTGTTATAGACTAAAACTGATATTAAACAATTTTGATGTTTGTGAAACAAAACCTAAATGTAATTTTTAAGCAACCATTCATGGACAAATGGGCGTAATACTTTTATCCAAAATTAACTATGAAACTGTAAACAAGATGGTGCACTAAACAAAACTACAGAAACGCACAGAATAGCAATATATAAAATAAATTGCTCAGTTAATCACAATAATTATTTTATTTAAAAACATCATGCCTTGCAACTATTCGAAATTATATGCTTAATCAAAAAATATTCATACCATTTATCATGCATGTACTCATATTAACTTAGAATTTCATGAACTTCAATTATTTTGAGGCAAATTATCATTGCGAATATAACAGCCTGGATTTTACCGAGGTCTCGAATCCAAGGCTCCATCTTCTGCTTGTGCTAGATAAAATAATTGCTTATACTAATGAGCTCTGGATAGCTCCTATTGTGTAATTTACTTCCACTCAATGCAAAGGGCATTTCATGCTTTCCAGATTTAATTAAAATCCAGATTTTCATACTCTACAGCCTTAGATACCATTTAAATCCAAGAATTATCTTCACCATTTGTTCTTTACAACGTTAATAAATCCTCCTTTATTTGTACCGTGAAGCAGGAATGAAAGTTTTTTTTAAAATAATATTTTTGTAAGAAAAGTCAGTTATATATGGTTAGAAAATATAACATTTTGCCTGACCTACTACAACATTTTCTTTCTTATCTTCCTGTATAAGTTAAATTTCATCTTCTAAAAAGGCTTTTCTGATATATAAACAGTACTCATTGCCTGCATCAAAGAAGTTTAATCCTTAAGTTAGTTGCATAAAAACTCTAAACAAATTTGGTGCTTATGTAATATTTATGTGTTTATTTCTAGCTTGCCAACAAGTGAATTCCGGAGTGAGTGCGATATTCGGACCCCAGAATCCACTCCTGGGCAGCCACATTCAGAGTTTGTGTGACGCCCTGGACATCCCCCATATAGAAGCTAGGTTGGACGTAGAGTCTGAAGAGAAGGAATTTTCCATCAATCTCTACCCCAGCCCTTGGTTGTTGGGCAAGGCGATTCGGGATCTCACTAAGTACCTCAACTGGACAAAAGTGGCCATCATTTACGAAGACGACTCGGGTAAGTTTTTTTTTCTTTAAATAATATGTACTAAATACCATTCTACATCCTATATTTGTTTTTAATTTTCATTTTGTAGAGGAATTATCAGTAGTTAGTAACACTAGTACTTGTATTTTAGGTATCAAAACTGAGAAATAATATCTAATTTATAGATATATATATTTCTGAGGATTTTTTTTAAATACACATCTCATTCGCTCTGATAGATAGCGAAGTTCGAGATTTTAAAAATTCCAAAATTCTTGAGCTAAGAAAAATTTTTTCGTTTTTTTACAAAAGAATGGATTGTCAATTAACATCAGTGATCGTGCTATTTCCAATGTTTTTGAAATATGTATGTATATAGAGTTAAAATAGAAAGAAGGTAAAAAAAGTCACTTTTCAATGTGCAAAACAAGGAGCATAGCATTTATTTATAGCATTTATTTCATTATGTTCACACCTACTGTGTGTAGAAATAAAACATAGCCACTTCTTTTTATCTAAAAACAAATTATTTTTAGAAAATATTCCTCTACAGATAATTACGATAAGCAGGAATTGATCTTAAAAAGTACAAATTCTTCATTAATATAATAATTTTTCATTGCTTCCTAGTCAAAGTAAAAAACTGGAATCAAACGAATTTTTCTGTCCAGTTGAAGCATGCAGTATATAATTATATTTAACTTCAATATTATGACTAACTTAAATATATAACTTATAAAACTTAAATATAACTAATAAACTTAAATATATAACTTAATATTATATTATGACTAACTAAAAGATTTACTTTACTTATGTGAAAAAAAATAAGAATCAGTGGTTTAATATTAACTTTACCTTTTAAGATTTTGAATAAATAAAAACAGAATATTTAGTTTCTAAAACTGCTGAAGTTAAACTTCTATAAAGTACGTACCATTTAGAAGCTAATGGATAGGAAGAAAAGAATGACTACACAATTCACATAATCTCTCTAAAGTAGGGTAAATTAGGTTTATCGCCAAAATTAGGTGCATCCTAATCAAGCTAGAAATGTTTATACCTGTTTAAATGCATTAAAAATTAATTCGTGTCTAGAAGATTTCTGCCAGTTTGAAGATATTTCTTTTCAAAATTGTTCATCTTAATTTTATAAAGTGTAAAAAAAAATTTAATATACAATATCAACCATTTTGTGATATGATTTTATTAGCACCCCTAGATTTTTTAAAATTTTTAGCACAGGAACACTATGCATTCCACGAAATGTTTAGCAGTTTTCAACACCAGTGAGCAAAACATTAAATATATTGTGAATGGAGGAATGGTATGTTTAAGTTCAGATTTTAATCAGATCCCATTGATCAGTTTACATTTTAGGATATCAGTCATTTTTAAAGAAAATGAATATATTTTAAAGCGATCTATTTTTCTTGAAAAAAGGAGAGGAATAATAAATAAACTTTTAAGTTTAAAAGAAATACTTATTGAAAGAAGTCAACACAATCAATACTTTCAACACCAAAGGAAAGTAATAAGTTTTCTCACGAATTAAATGAAATTTCATTTTCTCTTTTTTTCAATGATACGTCCCTGAATAAAAACCAATTATAATTTCGGTGTGAAAAGAATTTTATCAAAAAAGCAAGTTAAATATTCAAATGTTCTTTTTTTTTTCGTTCTTTGCAGCACTTGAGTATTTCCACTTATAAATTTTCTCCTTTAATGCACTTTCGTCGGTTTCTGCTTCCCGTTTATAGCTATTTAAGTTTCTTAAAGAGGAAAAAGTCCTCATGTTTTATTTTGAATGTAGAATCGGTTACATAAAATCTTATAATAGTAAGATAATGTTCTTTTCCAATGTCAGTGAATAGGTTTAAAGTCCCTGAGTTTTGCTTTTCGTTAATATTTAAGCTGTTCCAGCACTTTGCTTTTAGGTTGACACAGAAAAAGTGTTTTGTTGTTAAATATTTTTTGAATGAATATTTTTAGTACTTGTTTAACAGCAAACATATCTGTATGCAAAAAATAGTTATATTTGCAGTTATGAAAATATTTAAATTACATGTAACGATGCAGGCGATTGGGAATTAATCACTTTTGCGACAAGCAAAATTTCTTCTTTATTTTCAATATATTTATCTAAAAACTATGAATAAGCTACAATAATATGTAAGACTTTTATTTAATTCTTAGATATTTTTTTACCCTTTTTAATCTGTTACTTTCCTAAGATGATATACTTTCTCTGCTGTAAATGCAAAATAGATTAGAATAAAAGAAGGGTGTTTGAGGCATAATATTGTTTCATGTTTAATACTGCTAGTGTGACCTTGATGCACAAGAGTTTGATTATTTAGAAAAGTTTTTGCCACTAACTCCAAAATAAGTTAATTTATGAAGAGGGAGCGTTGAGTGAGTGAGATAACTACAGTTATTTTATCTCTTAAACAATTTTGTATTCGGTATGATCAAGTGTATTTAAAATAGGTCTTGAAATATATTTTCGTAATATATGTTTATGTATACATGTAATATATATTTATGTATACATGTAAGGTATAACAAAATACGATAGCTGCTTTAAAAAATAATTGGAAACCTCAAAATTAACATTCTATATTTGGTGATCTCCCCCTAAATTCATGTGTTTTCCCAATTTAGAGATTTTTCCACGTAACGCAACGCTGCTTGAAAAGGATAAGCAAAACTAATAACTAACCAATCATAGCTTGTTTCTAGAATCGCACCTACTCTGGTATAAAACCCCCTGGCAGCTAATTGCATCACCCTTTTTCTCCTAGTTTCCACACTGCTAATAACTCTTCGCTTCGCTACCCCCGTCTAAACAGACTGCGTCTTAATTATTTATGATCAAAGTACGTAGAAATTTTATCATATTTAATTATGATTGAACAAGTGTCTGCCAAATTAATTGGATATGTGTGAAAGTAATGACTAGAATTTCTTCAATTTCATATTTTACTATCTTCATCTGTATGCCTTAACCACAGCCATGACGAACATCGAAAGCTGGTGCTAGTTCTAGCCATCGCGAATGTGCTTGAAAAATATGATATACATATGTATATATATATTTAATATATGCTCATGTATGTATATTTAATATATGCTCATGTATATATTTAATATATGATCAGAATATGTAATATAAAGGGTGTTTCAGAAAATCGGTTACCAACTTTCAAGAGAGCCAGAGTACACCTAGAGCTATTCTTAAACTTTTTTTGTTGCGGCACACTTTTAACGATTTCAAAATTTGGCGGCACACAATGAAAAAGATAAGTTTAAAAGTGGTTTACTTACCTATAATACACTGTGTAAAAATAGTTTATGATAATAATTTTGAATGTAAAATAAAATAATACGTACTACAAAAGCAGCAGTACGTTTATTAAGGGATTAATTACAAGTTAATAATAAGAACACTTTTAATGAGAAATTTGAGCTTTATGGTTTTGATAACTTCACTTATATCTGGTCGTAAAAATGACAATGCTACTCTCATATCGTCTTCTGCATTTGACAGTCTTGATCCTTTTTCGTTTTTATGTTGATTAATACTGAAAATCCTAATTCACACAAATAAGATGTAGAAAACTGCAATAATATTTTTAAAACATTTTTGGCCATCATGGGATAATCGCATCTAATGTTAATCCAAAATGAATTAATTGATTCTTCCAAATATTTTAAAATTAAATCTTGATTATTAGAAAGCGAAATTAGTTCTTCCTCTTCATTCAAAGCTAATTCAAATATAGAAGTCTTCACCACTAAATTCGGCTTGGATACCACAATTGGCGCTCTTATTAATGTCTTAAAAACCCAATTCTCGTGTGTACCGGATACTAGGATTAAACCCATTATAATATAATAATTATATATTAATTATATATTATAAATAATAATAGTAAGAATACTATATACATTTCTAATATTTGGCGGAGCATTTTAAGAATTTGGCGGCACACAAAAGTACCACGACACAGTGGTTGAGAATCACTGACCTAGAGGATGGAAAGTCATGTAACAATGCATGGTTGGAAACGCTTTCCTGGTGCGGTAGTGACAACACAAAGCACAAGAAAGGAAGAACACGAACAGGGGGAGGAAACATGTTTATTATACTTAGTACAGCAGAAGTCAAGAAAGAAGAACAAAAATAGGCAATGATCATCATAAAAGGAGATGTTCGAAATTACGACCCCGCACCGTGATTCAGGCCTCACATCTCCGGCATATGGAAGATCTGCATCACGCATGGACGATTGCATGGAGGATGCATGACGCACGGTTCTTGCATCATTGTCCGTTGGATATAATTTCGAACACCTTCTTTGATGACGATCGTAGACAATCTTGTTCTTATTTCTTGGTTTCTGCTGTACTAAGCATAATAAACACGTTTTCTCAACCCGTTCGCGTCTTTCCTTTCTTGTGACTTGTCTCGTCACTAACATGCCACGAAATCGTTTTCGATCATTGCATTGCTATATGATTTTCCATCGTCTAGGAGTACTCGAGCTCTCCTGAAAGTCTGTAACCGATTTTCTGAAGCATCCTGTATACATTTTTCGTATTAGTGTTTTTACGTCTAGAACAATCTTATTTATATCCAAAGAAAAGGGTTGGGCAGAACATGAACGTAGCGCTGTTTATCTAAGAAAATAATAATGAAACAAGAGAAATTAAATAATAGAATTGCAGAAGTGTTAGATTGGATTATAATTATTGTTATTAACTAAAGAAGATAAAGTTTTGTAAATATAAAAAGTTTAAAGAAAAGTAAATTAACCAACTGAATTAGTTCCGTTGATAATTTTCTCAGAGAAAAAATCAAAATTGTGATCCAACTATGAGTAGCTTTCAAAAGTTTATTTATTCCTCTTTTTCGAACATAAGATTTGTATTCCTTGATGCCAAATTTTGATGCTTCTTGGTTTTAGCTGGTGCATCTCAAACAACGCTAGCAGCTTATATTTTAAATGGTTCAAAAACTTAAGTCA